CCATATTGTGGCTCCACCCTTCCTCAGGGGTAGAATCCTCTGCACAAGAAGAAGAGCCACATGCTCCAGTTATCAGGGGTTGCAGTGGCCTGTGGAATAGTGAACTCTTTAAGGAAATGTCAACCTTCCCTGTAAGCCCCAACTCCCAGACAGTCTGGGGATGGATAGAAAATTGCTGGGAGGGAGGTAGCCAGATGGGTAGGGAGTGATCAGAGTGAAGGGAGGCTGCTGGCTCCACAGAAGTATTGAGAAGAACAGGAAGGGTTCAAGTGGCTGGGGTCAAGGAAGCCTGGCTCAGGTGGCTGTGGGAGGCCACCTCTTCACAGAGCTATGTGTAAAATTCCTTATGAACTCCATCTCCAAGTTTGTTCTAGTTGTGGAGCCCAGACCTGTTAACAGTTAAATACCAAAAGTCATTTATTTTCCCCTTTGCAAAATAGAGATGGTTAGCTAAGAGCACTAATGGCAAAATGTGTGAAAAGTGCTAACCCAGCATCACCATTATTATAGTGTTCAAAGCTTGGCATGCCTAGGCATTGAATAAATGTTTGTGGACTCTAGTAGAATGTTCAATAGAGCCATCCCAAGACAACAAAAGCACTGGATCTGGAGGCAATATTTAGTAGAACTTAAGGCTGTTGGTATTGATGTAAAGACTAGCCCTATGGGAGACAAAGGTCTAGATCAACTCCAGTACAAGGAAAAGTGGGGTCTTAAAGGAGCCAGTTGGATGAATGGATGGAAAAGTACTAGGGCAGGGGGATTCTGGCACAACCAGCTCACAAGATTTTTGTCAAAAGCAGGCCAGAGTCATTCAGTGTCAAGAGTGGAAATGAGGACTAGAGCTGATGTCAAGAACAAGAAATTCCTTTAGGTTGATTAGTTGGGGGGTGGGTGTGGGTGTAGGGTAGCTATATCTGTAAGAATGGATGCAGGAGCCCAAGTGCAAGCTGGAGTCTTAGTCAAGAGGAGTCAGTGAAGCATGACTAAAATTTGGTCAAGGGGAGGGGGCAGTCTCTGTCAGTGAACTTCTTCAACTACACTACCCACGAAGGTCTGGAGATGGGACAACAGATTTGAAGTGCCCTATGACTGGTGGGATCCTGAACTCTTCTCCCAAACATGTAGACATCTGAAAAGTATTCTGTGTGTGCCTGTGTGTGGCATGTATTGAGAGAGCAAATGTTGACTTGCAGAAGTTGGTTCTTTCTTTCTACCATGTGCCCTGGGACTAAATTCAGGTCAAGGTTGATGACAAGTATATTAGCCTGTTACTAGCATTTCTTATTGGCTAGCTCTGTCTTAAATATTAACCCATTTCTATTAATCTAAGTGTTTCCACGTGGTCTTATCTTACCGGAGAGAGGGGCTGACATTCTGCCCTCCCCATCCTACATCTTGAATCTCCTTCCTACTGCTTCCCACATTCTCCTTGTCTCCTAGTCCCGCCTATCTTGCTTTCCTATTGGCCAACAGTGCTTTATTCATTAACCAATATGAGAAACATGTTTACAGAATGATATCTCCCAATACAAGTGCCTTAACTCTCTGAGCCATCTCAATGACTCTTTTCCTTGAATTTTGAAATACGGTCTCACTATGTAGCCCAGGCTGATCCAGAGCTCACACTCTCCTTCCTCAGTCTCTGGAGCACCAGGGTTACAGGAACATGGTTGTTCACCACCATATCTTGTTCAAGTATGGACACCTTTTCCTCACATGAGAACTCTGGGTCCCTGGAGTCAGGTACTAGAATTGGCTTGGCCACAGATATCTATCTATGCAGCAGTGGTAGGTGAGCCAGGGGAGGCAGACTTTGTGACAGAATCCATTTTGGCTGTGATCTGCAAGGACAGGCCCCTGTGCTGCAAAGGGACTGCAAATTCTGGAATGGTGCCCAGGGAGGCAATATCCCAGAAGAGGTTTTCTGGCCTGGGTGATAAATCCCAGAGCCACAATTAAGACAAAGCACTGTGAATGTGACACCTGTTGACAGCAGCAGGATGGCTCAGAAATTGATTATGAATGAAATTTTGCAGGCAGCTCATCAGTAGTAAGCTGGGCCTGGGCCCAGGCATAGGAGTGAAGCTAAGGACAAGGCTTCATACCAGGGCTGAGGGATGCACCTCCCTCTATTCAGGGCCCTTCAGAGCATCTGTATCCAGGAAGTGCAACCTCTGTGGAGAAGCTGGGCCTAGCTCAGAGCTCACCTGCTGGATGCCCTTTCATATGCATATGTGTCATCCACATTCAAACAGCAATTTCCTGCCAGGGATCCTAAGTCCCTGGCTGGTTGGAGCTAGGGGAGTGGGCAGGAAGGTGGTGTCTGGGATGACACAGGATTAAGAGAGCAGGTTAAAGTTCAAAGTGGAGTAAGACAGACAGACAGACAGAAAAGAGCAGCTGAAGGACACATACAGAAAGATGCAGGATGCACACTCGAAGCCCATTATTAAGAACAAATTGAAATTCAGAGTTGCTTATGGCCCAATGACTGTGGGGGCCATTTACTGACTTTCACAGGAGTGACATGAGGCCAGCTGAGTTGGTTAATGTTGAAGGCTGAAGAGACAGCACCACAGTTAAGAGCACAGTTAAGAGTTGTAGAGGACTTAGGTCCTATCCCCGGTACCCATGTGGTGATTCACAAACACCCATAATTCCAGTTCTAGGAGTTCCGATGCCCCTTCTTACTTCTGAGGGTACCAAGCACACACATGCATGGTGTGCATAAAAACATGCAGGCAAACATTCACACATAAAATAAAACGAATAAGTATTTTAAAAAGATTTAAAAGATATTTATTTTAAAGTCAGATGCTACATGGTATTAAAAAAAAAAAAAAGAAAGAATGGTTTTTCTGTGAAAATGGAAAACTTCCTAGGGTTTGTGAGATAATGCTTGGGGGAGGAAAATGAAGTTCTGACCAGATGTGGTGGTACATGCCTGTAATCTCAGTACTCAGGAGCATGGGACAGGAGAATTATAATCCTAGGGTAGAATGAGACCTCTCCAAAAAAAAAAAATAAAATAAAATAAAAATAAATGAATAGGGAAAAAAGGGAAGAGGAAGAGGAGGAAGAAGAGGGACAACATGGGGCTGTGCTACTTATTTTTCTGTTCCTGTGACAAAACACCATGACAAAGGCAACTTATAGAAGAAAGCATTTACTTGTTTTATGGCTTCAAAGGGTTAGATCTATGATGCTGAAAAGAAGGCATGGTGGCAACAAAGCTGAGAACACACACCTGGTTGGGAAACCTCAAAGCCTGCCCCCCCAGTGACACATCTCCTCCAACAAAGCCAGGCCTCCTAAGCCTTTCCAAAGCAATCCAGCAACTGGGGACCAAGTATTCAAACAGATGAGTCTGTGGGGCCATTCTTGCTCAAACCATCACAGTGACTATGATCACAACAGGGAGATGATGCAACTCTTGGACCTCTAAACAGTGCTGGCTCTGGTATCTTAGACATAGTTCTCAGAGGAACTGAGTGGGAGCCTTCCCTCTCCCCCTCCTCCCCACTTTGTGCCAGAAAAATCTCTGCTTTTAAGACTCAGCTCAAATGCCACCTCTTCCAGGAAGCCTTTCTAACTGCTCGTTTCATTTTCTGTCAGTCAGCTATCTCTTCCTCCTGCAAATTTCTCCAGACATCCCTCCCTATGATCCACTCTTTCACCCTGAAAAGGTTATCCAGCACCTGATAAAGAGCTGCCTCTGTGCCAGAAATGTCAAAAGCCCTGGCTCTAATCCTCTTGACTGAGTAGCAAAGTAGCTTATACAACACCCACTTCAAGGGTAACACCCACTTTAAGGGTGGAAAAGATGAGAATACAGTCTTCCTCAGGGGCACCTAGCTGTTAGGTGGCAAGACCATGACCTAAGCCATGTTTGCCTGATGCCAGGATTGGTACTGTTTCTTTAACACTGAACAGCATGTTCCTGAGGCTGGAAATCAAGTCTAGTCATTGTATGTTTACACACTTGGCCCTCTCTACATGTTCCTAGTGAATGACGCATCCGATGGATGGGCACTGTCCTTTCATTTGATGGTATACTGCTGGGGTCAGCAGACGACAGCTCAGGGGCCAAAACCAGCATGCCTCCTATTTTTTATTAAGTTTTATCAGAACTTGGTCACACTCATATCTTTATATATATTGCCTACTACTGCTTTTGTGTATAATGGCAAAGTTGTTTGCCACAGAGACTAAATCCTAAAATATTTAATATCAGCTGTTTGTAGAAAAAGTTTTCTACTTTTGTTGTAAATTTCATCACTAAAATGCTTAAATTAGTGCTTTTGCAAAGTGTCAATAACCTTGTCTTTCTTAGTGCTCTAGAATATTATGTATGTTCATGCTTTGGATACATGCTTTGGATACATAGTAAAGTATCTTGCAGCATATTTCAGTGTGTATCTGACATGTGCCACTTTATTATTTTGTAGACAAGATTCCTATAAAAAGGTTTGAGGCTGGGGATGTAGCTCAGTGGTAGACTACATGCTTAGCATGCATGAGGTCCTGGGTTCAACACTCATGGTCTTTGGAATGATGCGTGCATGCGTGTGTGTGTGTGTGTGTGTGTGTGTGTGTGTGTGTGTGTGTGTGTGTGAGATCTAGGGTTTGTGTTTTGTGATTTTGAGTGTGACTTTATTGACAACACCTTGCCAGGCATAGCAAACCCTGAGCCAGTTGGCCTTCTCTGAAGCAGAGGAGGGCAGAGTCTCCTTGGACACCCTCTGTAGAGTGTGACTCTGATACATGCCAGAGCAGCACTGATGAGGCAGTCTTGAGGCAAATGAAAAGCCGCCTGGCTGACAGACTGTGTTGTTTTTTACCAGTGGTGTATGAGGTGATCAGTGCTCTAAGCTCCCAAACACATATTCTCCCCTGGGCAGAAGGTACTGTGTCTCTGTGTCCTGCCCTATAGAAGCATCAGTGAGGAGCTAGAGAAGGGCTGCTGACCTGTCCCTGCTCCCTGGAGCTCAGGACTAGCCCCTGAAAGCCTGGCATCTGGGGCAGAAGCAACATCAAAGCCAGGATTGGTTGACTCCCACCACAAATGCCAAACAGGCCAGGCGAGGGCAGCGTGGAGGCGTGACAAATCTCAGCCTGCCTCAAGCCTGTGTTCCCGGCCAGTCTGCCTTGGGCCTTGCTCCACAATGACGGGCCCATCATTCAGCTTCACTCAACTCCTCACTGTTTCAGGACTTCTCTGTCACTCAGCTGGCTCCTTGGGTAAGTGTGTGTTCCTGTGTGTGTTTGTGTGTTATAGAGAGGAGAGGGAGAGGGAGAGGGAAGAATTGATCATATGTGCATTCGTTTTTTTTTTTGTTTTTTTGTTTTTTTTTTTTAAAGACTCCTCAGCTAGTGTTAGGATTACAGGGTAAAGGGGTGTGATGGAGTCAGTGGGGTCTTGCATACATGCCTATGTGTGTGAATTTGTTTGTTGTCTCTCTTGTGACCTTGACTCCAGGGTGGCTGGCAGCTGTTGTCTGTCCCCTTGACTTTGAAGTAAAACCGTGTTCTGTGGTCCATGATCTCCCCCTGTCCCCCTACTCCCCCCCCCCCCCACATTAGGTGGCTGGGATGCTTGCCATCATTCCAGGCCAACTGGTTTGGGTGACTGGTTTGGCTCAAGGCAGCAGTCACCAAACCACCAAATCACTTTCTTTGCATCTATGTCCTTACCTGTTGTCCAGGCCCACTCTGGTGTAAACTTCTCCCTTGACCTTTCAAAGAATTTCAAAATGCTTTGATCAGAATTTGTTTTTCAAAGGCAGCATGGTCAGTGCATGGAGCTGGGGGAAAGTCCTTGGAGTCAGGCTTTTCTGGGATATGTGAATTGTAGATGATGTTGGGCAAATTGTAGCTATTGTGTGGCACCCAGTGACACCATAGAACGTGCCTTTTACCTTGCCTTTTCTGCTGTTTCCTTCTAACACAACTCCAAAGGTGGGTGAGAAGTGAACACGTGACAGGCTGCCACCCTATGCACGGGCAGGTGCGAAATCACTAGCGAATGGCTGCATTTGGCATTTTCCGCAGGACACCTTCTTCTTTTGAAACTGCTTCCTTTGGTGGCTTTTAGTGACACGCTGGCTTGCCCTGAGGGATGCTGTTTGGTGTAGGAGATTGAAATAGGAACAGCTGTTTGGTGGCCTTGCTTGGTGGCTTGGGCTTGTCTTGCATGTAGGAAATGTAGATAGACCTAATGGTGATCCTGGTGTCACACTTACCTTAAGAACTGCTTTTGGACGCAGTGTATGCCAAACTCTTGGTGGTATAGATCAGGAAACACAGTACTTTGGCTGAGGAAATGAGTTGTACTGTGTCACATGGCCACATACCCCCCAGATGCACACTCTTAGATTTGAGTTCCTGTATTTCCAAGAGTCCAGTGGTGTAGATCACTTTCCAAGAATGTAACCCATTTTCTCAAAATAAAGCATGGAAAGGGATTCTTTCCAATGAGGGAAAAAGCAAACACTTGCCAAAACATTCATCAGACAGTTGCTTCTACTTCTGCAGTGCCATACCCACGATTGGCACCTTTAAGCGAGGGCTGGTGGTCTTGGAGACCCTTGGTAGTTGACATTGCCAAGGCAGCTGCCTGGGACTGAGCCAAGCACATGGCCACAAAAGGCACCACACACACTACACACACACACACACACACACACACACACACACACACACACACACACACAAGTTTCCATTACATTAGAGTCTTCTGGGGCTCTTCCAGGCTGGTCCCTGAGCTTAGGTACTATTTCAGCAGAGACAGCACAGACCTGGGAGAGACCCATGGGCCACTCAACACCAAAATAGACATTTGAAGCCCTGGCTTAGTTGACATGGAGAATGAGTGGTGGTGGTGGGGGGAGGGTCCGCTCCAAAACTCATCCACCTGATGGAAATACTCAGTGCTGGAATGAGCTGTAAATAAACCAGACTGTGCTAAAAACAAACACCTCCTGGAGTTGGGGGAGGGGAAGAAATCCAAGCCCTCCACCTGTTGGGATGAAGTAGGTCAAGGGGGAGAATGAAGAGGGATGGGGGTAGTGTTAAAGGCAGATGCTTTGGCAGCAAAAGCAGCTGATAATTTATGTTCAGTAAAGATGCCTCCAGTTTCCAGGAAGAAGTGAGAGAAGCAATTGCCTTGAGACACCCAAGCTCTTTCATTACGGGGCTCCCAGGGTGCTGGCCAGGCCACACTGGAAACCATATATGGACTGGAAAATCAGTGGTGATGGTGCAAATTAGCCACATGGGCTGCCAGGCTCCCAGGTGTTCTTTGGGGGGGGGGGCTTTTGGAGAACTGTAGCCTTGGAGCTTTCTGTCTACTGAGGCAATAGGAAGGCGAAGGGAAAGGATCTGGAGGGGACTCTAACAGGTTTCTGAGGATAGTATGTACCTGCCACCTTCTTCACTAGCTCTAGGTAGCCTGGAGAAGCTGAAGCTGTCTACTCTTGGCTTCTTGCACTGGAAAAGAGCTGGTGGTAGAGTAAAGCTTGAAAATATAACTATCATTTTCTGCCAAGAAAGAGAGCAGTGGGGGCTGTAGTTAAGAATGCTGGCTGCTCTTACAGGTGACCAGGGTTCAAATCCAAGCAACAACATGGCTGGTGTTACCCCAGCTCCAGGAGATGCCCTCTACTGGCTGTCTCAGATACACCAGGAAAGACATACATGCAGGCCAAACACTCATACAGGTGAATTAAAATGTACAAGGAAGAAAGGAAGAACAGTGGCCGCCACAGCTGGAGCTGCCCAGGCCCAGGGTACACAGCATCCCCTGTGTCACATAATTCCATAGATTTCAACCTCAGACAGCACTGCTCTGTGACCCTGGTGGGTCAGGACAAAAGCAAGAACATCCCCAAGTCATAACCAAGCACAGACAAAACAACCATTCTCATTCTTGTATGTAACTGGCATGTGTTTTGCTCCATTCTCTTTCCTCCTAGAGAAGAACTAAGTCAGCTGCTCCAAAGCAAAGCTACACTTTTGCATCTCAGTTTCCTCCACAGATCTGCAAGGAGCCAGAATCCTAGAATAAGATTCTCTTTGTGCTTCCTGGTTCTTCCTGTGTGTGTTCTCCCTTGCCACGAACCAACAAACCCAATTTGGTTCTTTGACTGTGTTTCTAACAGTCTTTGGTTGGAAGGCATTGACACAGTGGTCTCAAGTAGCCTTATGGGAGGCCTCTGCCATCTTAATTTTTACCCATTTGGAGTCAGAGTTCAAACGAGCAAGCTCTGGTAACAGCTTACTAGTGCTCAAGTATAGGCGCCACTGCTGAGTCACTGCTCCACCCTACGCTCATTAACTCACCTGGCTAATCAGTAAAGTGGGAACGATGACAGCAGTGTTGATGGTGCTTAACTCAGGGTTGCTGTGAAGATTTGACATGTTTGTATTTATGAACCACACAAATGGTGCCTCACATGTAGTTAGTATTTGTCACTAAATTGTTAATTCAGCAACCTTTTATCAAGGCCTAGTGTCTAAAAGGTTTGGAAACTGGCCCTTGCCCCCCTCTCAGGAAACACAACTCATGCTGGGATAAAGAAGGAAACTGTTTGAGCCCATGGAGAAGAAGGGACACAGGGATAAACCCAGAGAAAAGAGTAGCTAGGCCCCGGAAGCTTGGTGTGTGAGTGAAGGAAAGCTTCCTACTGATAAATTCAACATAGAGCTCAGTGATGAGAGGCATGCAGAGGCCCACCTGGGTTTGTTCTGAGAGGTCAGATGTCCGAGCAAGAGAGGGAAGTAGCAGTGTCAGGAAAACTAGGAACTGAAAAACATTGCTTCCTGCTGCTTCAGACATTCTAGTGTACCCACCTTTCTATTGGTAAATCCCTAGAGGTGAAATCACTGAGCAGTGGTGTGTGTCTATGTCCTGCTCTAATAGAAAACACCAAGAAATGTCTCAGGGAAGATACGGGTCTCCATTCTTGTCTGCTAGTGTATAATGGCAGTTCGGTTGTCCCCATCCTCGCCACGCTCGTCTCCTGGCCTTTTCATTGAAGCTGTTCTGGTGTGTGAACATCAGCATCATCCCATGCATATCAGTGATGCTCAGCAGAATGGATAAGTTCATTATGGTCTAGCCACAGGGTGGAACTCTGCAAGACTGTAAATGATAGTCTGTGCCATTTCTTCAGACACTGTGCTGAGTAAGAGAAGACAAACATAGAAATTCACGCTGTAAGATTCAATTTGCATAAAATGCAAGCAACTTCATGATGGAACCCTGGTGCTAAGATCCAGTGGGTGTGGAAAAGCACAGAGGCTGGCATTCATAGGCCTCTGCTGTTTACTTTGTAGAACTCTGTTGTGCGGTACCGTAGAATCCATGTCTTGTTGCATTCTATGACATTCACCATCTGTTAAGGCCAAACGCTATAGAAGACCGGTGGCCTATTAGTCTCCTTATGCTGGGGATTTGGTCATCTACATGGAGACATTTAAGTGGGACTCACATTTGATGGAGTGCCCGAGTGAGTATATACAGTCTGTTTCAAACCATGGCTTAAGCACCTTGGAGTTAGCACCACCTCTGTCCCTGGTTACATCTCTGTCCAAACAGTTTCCTCCTGAGACAGTACCACAGGTGTCCACAAGCACAGCACTGCCATGTTACAGGTCTGTCTAAACTTTTCATTTCTCGTTACACCTATAAAGTCTGTCTCTGAAGGAGAAAACACACACACACACACACACACACACACACACACACACACACACCAGTGTCTGTGCCACCCCCATCCATCAGAGACAAAGAGAAGGTCTGGGTCAGGCAGCAAACAGAGTCCTGAGTACTTACATCTCAAACAGGTCAGAAATTGCATTTGGAAATCTTAGGTGACTGCACAAGTGTTCTTTGCGCATGGTGGGCATGACACAGGGCATCACCTTATCCCCATGCTAAGGAGCAGCAGTTTTCTCTGAACAGCCCTTCCTGGCCTGGATCAGAAGAGGCGGAGCAGCCACAAAGCTTGCTGCCTGCTGACACCTCCCCCTCCCCCGCTGTTCCCACCACCATTCTTCAGAGGCAGCAGAAGCCCGGTGAGTGCTCTGGACTTGGGTGAGTGAAAGTCTCCAGCTTCCTCCGTATCAGCCCCATACCTGGCTCAACATAGCCACTTCAGAGTCTCATTTGAGAGAGGCAGTTGTGCCTTCCCTCAGGGGCCAAGGCCGGAGGGGGTGTTGTGCCAGTTGTGCTAATTGTGCCATACATCTGTTTTCCCGCCATCTTGAAGCTGTGAACGAGAGAGTTTTTTCTTACCTGGGAGTTTCTGAAAACACTAGGATGCATTCATTCCCCATAGATAGATGTTGAGATGGAGGACTCCCCATTCCCTTTTTAAATAAAGTATTTATGAAATTCTTGGGATGGGGGCAAGAATGGGAGGAGGGAAGACAAAAAACGGGATGTGGAGGATAGAGATAGAGTAGCAGTTAGATATGAAGCATTAAGGCGACTTATTTTCTATAACAATAACAATAACAAAAAGCACATAGGGGAAAAAAAGAATTCAGAGGCCCCATTGCATAGAAATCGAGCAGGGTCCAGGGAGGCATCTCTTTCCTTGGTCTGATCTCTAACCCATTGCTTTATTCTGAAGCTTCTCTCTCCAGACATGAAGAATCTTCTGGAACTTGAGGCCTCACCGTCACCCTGCATTCAAGGCTCACTCGGCTCTCCTGGGCCTCCTGGGCCCCAGGTGGGTGCACCCTTTCAGACTCCTCCTGTGTCTTCCGGTAGACGAGGAAGCCTAGTGGGCAGTACCTCATAGCTTCTGACTTATGATGTGCCGCATGCTGGGTTTTCTTATGTAACTCCTCTCCAGCTAGCTCCAGAGCCCAGAAGAGTCTCTTGGTGAATCTCATCTCACCTGTGTAGCCTCTGCCATGACAGATTCAAGGGTCTCATATAGCATGCTGCCCATATGGTAGTGGATGTTGTTGTCACCATCACCAAATACAGATGTGACCATCCACTCTACCCTCTGTCCTAAAAGTTCAGGAATGTGGTGGTCAGAGGGACCGGTTACGCAAGCTTTCCTGGCTCGGGACTGCTGCAAGCAGCCCCCACCCAAGGTAAAAGAGAAGAGCGGAACAAGCAAGTTGCTAGGGAAAGAACTTTCTAGACAAACAGGAGTGCACTCCAGGCCCCCCATCCTGGGGCTGGCCTGCTGCCATGAGGGCTTTTCCAACTGCTCTGAGGCTCTGGTCCTCCAGGGGGGAGGAGCAAACAGGTCCTGAGTGCTGATCTTGGCAGAAGGCATAGACATCACTAATCAGCTATGTGAACCTCCTGTGGCTTCCCTGTGTTAGGAGACAAAAGGCTGAGCTTCCTGACCTGGAAGACACAGTCCCACTAGTGGACCCTGATTTGGAGTGCTCCATCAGCCTACCCTCTACCTTCGCCTTAGCTAAAGTGCTTGCCTGTGGTTCCACACACACCAAGCTCATCTTAGCCTTGGTCTGTGCATACAAGGCCCTGCTGTTCTTCCTGCCTTTCATAGTTCCTCCTAGACACTCAGAGGTTGGCTTCCATGCTACCTCCTTAGAGATACCTTTCTCAGTCAAGCATGGTGACACTGAGCTCTAATTCTAGCACCCAGAGAAATCTGAGGCAGGAGGATTAGCATGAGTTTGAGACCAGACTGAACTAAATAGTGAGTTCCGAGACTGCTTGGACTCCTGAATGAAGCCATATCTCAGGAGGCGGTAGGGAGGGGAGGAGAACAGTGGAGAGGAAAACTTTTGCAGTAACCAAGTCTAAAACCATCTGGTTTTCTACCTGCCGTTTTACTCTCTATGGTTGTTCCCAGACCATCACGGCAGGGTTGCAGAGCCTGGCAGACAGCAGATGTGACTCTCCAAGCCTAGGAGAATTATCCTCTGGCTTTGTAAAGGAAAAGTTACTGATCCCATGTCTGCAGGGACAGGGATATTGTTCATCCCACTTTCCAATCTATCCCACCTGTGGGCTATAGCTAGCCTGTTCTCCATTTACGTTTGTTGACCCAGGTATGATGACAGGTTTATTACCCCAACACTTGGGAGGCTGAGGCAGGAGGATCCCGAGTTTAAGACTAGCCTAGGCTACATACATAGTAATAGACCCTGTCTCAAAAGGAAAATAAACAAGGAAACAAACAATGGAAGCATCTATAGATAAATGGTATAGTGAAAATGAAGTTGAGCTCAGAGGCCAGAGGCCTTCATAAAGGCGCTGGAAGTCTGTAGAAAGGCTGGATGAGATTCCTCTAAGGTGGACTCCTGCATTCCACCGTCAGCACTCTCCTCTGATGGCTCTTGATGTTCCTGAGAAGCAATAGGCATGTGAAGGAGTGCCACACTCTGCTCACCTCAGAACAGCAGCCCCAGTCACATTAGTGCATCTCTGAGCTCCTGCAAGCTCCTCTGAGTCACATGGAGGCTCTGCTGCCTCCTTCATTCGATCAGAACAGTATTTGTTTGATGGGTGCAAAGCTCAACAATCTTGTAGAATAGTTCTAACCATTTCAAGAAATGGAAGGCTTGGTAGAACAAAGAACTCCACTTTCCCAAGCGGAAGGCAGATAAACCAAAGGTGGTGTCTTTATCTTCACAAGAACTTCACTTATTCCCGATGCTTATTTTCTCACCAACTCCCATAGTCCCGATAGTCATTCGATTGGTCTGGGTATGGCCTGAGCTTTTTTCAAAGATCCTGGGGAAATTGTAACTCAATGACAGGTTTTGGAGAAGCTACATTTCCAACAGACTTTTCCTAGTGTTGTTCACCTGCAAACAGTAGGGATACTGTGGAAGCTAAGGGGTTTGGGTGGATTTCTCTCTGCCACCCCCAGGAATTTGGAAAGCAGTCATCAACTGAGCCATCCACAAATGTGTGAGCAGAAAACAGCTGTGGATGTGGAAAACACTGGCATTTTTACAGCCTCTGGCTGGAGCAATCTCCTATTGCTGACATTGAGATATACACGATCCTTACATTAAGGAAAGCGGGAGGAGAATGTTATTCAGCACCTGAAATCCACAGGTCATTTTTGGGAATGCTTTTCTTTTCTTATTTCTCTTTTTTGTTTTTTTGTTATTTGTAAGACAGTGATCCAGGCTGGCCATGAACTCGCTTATGTAGCCAAGTCTGGCCTTGAAATCCTCCTGTCTCCAGTTCTGAGTGCTGAGATTACAGGAGTGGGCCACCAACACCCAGTTCCTTCCAGGGGGTATCTGAATCAGCTGCTTCTCAATGCAAAACTTAACTCTGCCCCCTGGTGGGGCCTCAGGGAAGCAAGGCAGTGAAAGAAGGGTTCCTGAGGCTGAGGAGTATCATGGTCTCAGCAGAGGGGCTTCTTCAAGACTGTTGTTGATCTTACCAAGCACAGAAGGATTCTCAAGAGGAAAGCAAAATCCAGAGAAAGCTCAGGAGGAAGAGGAACAGAGGGCAGAGTGGGCTGCAGGATGGAAGGTTCCTGTAGGGGTGCCTGGAGTCCCCACACCCAGAGTCTGCTTGCTCTGTAAAGAATGGCCCAGTGCCACAGACCCCGACCACAAACCCTCCCCTGCAGTCTCTCCTTGGTTGGGCATATGCTTTCTTCACTTCTTATCTCAATTGTGTAGGGTCCACCGGGGCTTCCTGGCAAGACAGGACCAAAGGGAGAAAAGGTATGAGCCACTGCTTTCTTAGTCCCACCTCACCTCGGTAGTTACAGCTTGCTTTCTGGGGGTGCCACTGAGAATGTTCTGGTTGAGATATCAAAATATGTGCTCTCTCTGTCTTAGCAGATGAGGAGGGCTCCCCGATGAATGGCTGCAGCTGTAGTAGGGACTGCTATTGCTGTGTCCTGCTTCGGGCCACTGGCATGGCAGGCGTGCTATAACTGGTCAAGTGACCAGCTGACTGACTGAGCCACAGCCAACCCTACTAAGCGTTCTGATTCCAGAATGTCACTTCCAAACAACTTTTGTTTATCTGTCTTCTCTCTGCACAGGGGGATCTTGGCCGCCCAGGAAGGAAGGTATGACCCATGCTGCTCTGTCGAGCAACTGTACTGCATGCATGCATGTGTGTTCAGTGGCTACCAGTACCTAGTGGAGTGCTGGTGCTGCCATCCTTCTGAGGATGTCAGCATGCTTTCCATTTCCTGGGTCTGTGGCTGCTAGGCATCTGACAAACCTTCCAGAGGCTGCTGGGCCTGGCAACACTTCCCCAGCCTCACCCTGCCACCTAGCAGAGAACTCTCCAAGCCCCCAAATAGTGACACAAATGACCTTCACTACTTAAATTAGGTTGGAATAAAGTGCTTGATCAGACAGGAACAAATGGCTTTGCTTTGGAAGTTACTGTGGCTCAGAGTGAACCAGCCACATGCCCTCATTAGAGTCAGAGAAAGAACCAGCAGGTGATGTTGCTGTAGTCAGTGGGTGCTGGCACTTAAGTTCTAGGTCTTGACTGTAATTGAAGGAAGAGCAAATCCAGCCAAAAAGATGCCAGTGACTTTATTATCAACAGAAGCCATAAACAGACTTTTGCAAGGTACAAATAACAAGGGGAGCCACAGATCAGTGGCTGTGTTGAATGCTGACCTGGAGACAATCTTGTTGTGGATCTAGGTGCAGATGTATCAAGGTCTGTGTTGATTAATAATGTCTGCCATGGCATGGAAAGCAAAAGTAGAATGTACATACCAGCATCTAGCATCACTGGACTCTTGGCTGAACCTTTTGAATCCCTAGTTAACTGTGAAGTGAGGCGCTGAGTGTGGAGCTCAAGTCTATGCTCTCATCCCCTTCCGCAAGAATTACTCTTTTATAACCCTTAGTTGAGGTGGGGTTCTCTGGAAGCAGAGACACATACAAGTGAATGCATTACGAAGGGAGCACTGTCAAGAGGAGCTCTTGAAGAGTGGAGCAGGGTGTCATCAACCTGAGTAGCCTGAATTTGGGAGTGTGGATTGCCTGCCTGTCTGTCTGTCCTTGATACTTTGATGGTAAGAGATCTAGGATGTTGGCTGAAGGAAGGAAAGTTTGTAAGTGAGTGGGAAGCTTCAAGGCCCCAAAATGAACTTCAAGATTTCAGGCTTTGATAGAAGCCAACAGAGTAGCCACAGGGGGATGGTATGTCAAGCAGGCAAGATGCCTTTGAGGGAGTTCCAACAGCACCTGATGCTGCCCCCCATGTAGTTAGTCCCAGCTCATGCCACATGACAGCCTCGTGGAGAACTCACAGGGGCAAGGCCAGTGGTACAGAGAATAGAGGTAATGAAAACTGAAAAACCAACAAGTTTAGAGTCCCCTTGCCCACTGTTTTCTCTTTCTTAAATAGAATAAAACCTTGTTTGGTACGATAATATGTCACCAAAAGTCTAACTCATATCTGTTTGCCATGCTTTTTTAGGCCCTCATTCTTTATAGGGTAGGGATGAAGGTACAAGGGAACACATGTAGTGGCCTTATACCTTATCAGGACCTCAGATATTCTTGGCTGGAGGGAAGCATATTGAGGTATCTTGACTTTTGTTCTTGGTCTTTGAAGGGTAGACCTGGACCCCCAGGTGTTCCTGGCATGCCTGGGCCTGTTGGCTGGCCAGGCCCTGAAGGACCCAGGGTAAGTGTTACATGTGTTTGGGGCTCATGTAGTATCAGAACATGAGGGGGAGATGGCCAATAGTCATTTCCTTGAGAGGGAGAATAGATGCTAGGCAGCTCCCAGCCTATAAGCATTTCTCCTTCATGTGGCCTGCAGACCCTGGTCAGTACTGTGACTCTGCTCCTGTGGAAAAGTGGGGGCTGTTCCTTTCTTTCCCAGGAGCTCCATTTCCCCTTTGTCCTGAGAATTAGTATTCTAGTCTTTAGTTTCTCTTAGATGACCCAAAGGCAACTTGGGTCTGGAAAGTTATCACCTGTCATGCTGATCTGGCAGATGGGAAGTTGGGGAGTATTGGTAGGTTGGAAGGATACAGGAGAGAATATGCAAAGCAAACACATCCCCATCTTCTCTTGGTTTATGTTCTCACTGCCTGTCATGAATGCAGAGGCCATGACCAGCCAAAGCCAGGGCAAGACAAGCAGATATCCTCTGCTGCCCCACCTTCCTGGCTGTATTGGTAATACAAAAATCCGAAGGAGATTTCTCTTTAAACCCACTGTATCCTGGGCTGCAGAGATGGAGAATGGCTCACAGTTAAGAGCACTTTTGCTCTTGTAAAGGTCTTGTGTTCAGTTTTCAACATTTGAATTGCCACTCACAGTCACCTGTAACTCCAGTTCCAGGGGATCCAATGCCCTTTTCTGGCCTCTGTGCATAGAAGGCATGTACATGGGATGCATTCATACATGCAGGCAACTTTCAGTTCACTATGTGGCCAGGCATGGTGGCTCATACTCACAAACCTAGTACTCAGAGGGCTGACGTAGGATCACCATGACTTAGTGTCCAGCCTGGGATACAAAGTAAGTTCCAGGTCAGCCAGAATGAGATCCTGCCACAAACAATCAAACAAGCAAAAAAGCAGAAATCTCCACTATAGAGAGCTAAGCTATCCACCATGACAGCCTTGTATAGCCGTGAAGCCCTTAAAATGTGACTAATATAAATGAAGAACTGAAGGTTTAATTTTAACTCACCCAAGTTTTAATTCATAAAACTATATTCAGGGCTGGGGAGGTATCAGTCAGTGAAGGTGTCTGCCATCAAGTGTGGCAACTTGAGTTCCATCCCTGGAATCCACATGGCAGGAGGAGAGAACCAACTTCCAGAAGTTGTCCTCTGAACTCCATATATGTTCTGTGGCACACACACACACACACACACACACACACACACACACACACACACACACACACTCACAAACACACAGAGTAAATAAAATGTAATTTTAACATCTCATTATTTTACAATGAGTACATGTTGAAGTGACAATTAGATTAAATGAAAGTAAAATATCGGCAAAACTAATTTCACTTGTTTAGTTTACTTAAGGTAATTTATAAAGACCTTTAAAATTCAGAATATGCAGCAGGCATGGTGGTACATCTCCTATAATCCTATCACTCAGGAGGAGAGGCAGGGGCATCTGTTTAAAGGTTATCTTCACCTAAATTTGCAACTAGCTAGAGATACATGAGACCCTGCCTCAAAACAAAAACAAAAAAACCCATAAGTAAATCAACCAATCTCCATATTGTTGACTTTATAGCTCTATTAATTAGAGGTGACATGCAGTTATGTAGTATAGAGAATGCTTAAGATTCAAACTTATTTTGAGGTAGAGGGAGCCCATCCTATGCATTAATCACCTCCCTCCCAGGTACATATCCAGAGACTGATTTTCCCTCTGCTTGGCTTCAAACTGAGGGTGAAAATATAATCAGATGTCTGAAAGGCCCTCCCTATGCAAAAAGCAAATCTGGCAAAGAATTTGTGTGTGGCAAGCCTATCTTCTGAGGCCCTCATGCTGTCTCCCCTGCCCTCTCACAACCCTTTCCAGGAAAAGATCAAACATCACCATTTACAACTTCTTAGTGAGTATTTAGTTTGGCATCTGTACCACCTTGGGCATTTTTGTTCTCTATTTAATCTCAATGACCACAATAAAAGGTGGAAAGTGGAGTCCTGGGAGGAGGCAAAGGGGCATATGGGACCTCAAGTTCATAACCACCTCCAACACCCTGGTTCCATCCCAGTTTTGCCCACAACTCCTGTTTCTGTTTCTGCAAGAAATATCACTGTGGGCTTTCTTTTCATCTTCTGATTGCCACAGGGTGAAAAAGGTGACCTGGGTATGATGGGCTTGCCGGGGTCAAGAGGACCAATGGGCTCTAAGGTCAGTATGTGGTCCAGATGGGCATTCCCAGGCCTTCTTTCTAAGACTGAGGAGCAGCAGCTGTTTACAAATATGGGAAAGACAGGACTGGGGGGCTGTCACCATGTGCTGGGTAGTCAGCCCATTGTGGGACATCATGCCCTGGGCTACAGGGACACCAGAATTCGGTTCCTATTGTTCTCTTTAGCTATCAAGGTTTTGTCTCCAGATTAGGCATTTGAGGGCATGTTGTTTCTAGGCCTGGTATAAACATCTTTGTGTTTGCTGCTGCATGATCCCTAAAACTACAGTAGAGCGCAGATGTCAGCATCATATTCAGGGAGTCTTGGGGGCTGAGTATAAACACTGTGCTTTCTTTTAGGGCTTCCCTGGATCCAGAGGGGAAAAGGTCAGTCCTCATCTCTTGTGGCATCCCAGATCCTGGTCTGGGCTCAGCTCTGGAGTTGGTGGTGGGTGGAAGACAGGCCTAGCTCTCTCTCTTCAGATATCAACTGCAGCCATCATTCAGCTGTTCCTTGGTCCTTACTTGTGTATGGACTGAGGATGAAGTGTGGGCCTCTTGAGGAAGGGAATTCTGGTAAAGAGGATCTCCCAGTGAGGCTCTTGCCCCCACCACAGGGAGAAAACGAGAGCAAGCAGGTAGGGAGTTCAGTCAGTCAGCATAGAGGTGCTAGAAAAAGGGGAATTGTTCTTAGGCCAGGTTTCTACCACACAGCCTTCTCATCTGCTAAAACAAAACTAACAGGCTCCTGCAGTCACATCATATCCTGTGAGATGGGAAGATCTGAGACCCAGAACCTTCTATGCGTTTCCCTTTAGTAACTAACAGTAAGATGTCTTAGGAATCTAACCAGGACAAATTCCTTGACTGGGCAAGTTACCTATTATTTGAGCCTAGAGCTTTGCAAAACTGAGGGTGTTGGCCTAGGCAGTCCATCAGTTTGAAATGCTCTTGTCCCTACACCCATCCCCCACACAAGCACAATATTAGTGCATTGACCCTCTCTTTTGGTTTTCTCCTAGGGATCCAGAGGCGAAAGGGGTGACGTGGGTCCCAAAGGAGAGAAGGTAATGACAAATCTGTACAAGAGAGATTCTGTACTAGAAGTGGGACTTCCTGCTCCCCCAAACTAGGGATTGATGGATAGCCATCTTGAAAATGGCTGACCAAATCTATCCACAGCCAGTTCCAAGTGGCATTTCAAAGCACTCACAATATTTGTTGTTCTTTTCACAGGGTTTCCCTGGATTTCCTGGAATGCTGGGGCAGAAAGTACGTATCTAGAAGTAGAAATAACAGACCTCATGTCCTCTAAAAACAGTGAATGGATCCCTTCTTTTGGTCCTTCAGGAAGAGATATTGAGGAGATAATGATTTTAATTGTGGAAAGTTCCAGGTTGAGATGGGGACCAAGTTGTCTTATCCACTGGGCAGAGGGTAGTAGAGAGGTCTGAGGTCAACCTACAGTTTAGTGGGAAAGGCTATTCCCCACTCCCACCGCCATGGAGAGAGGCCCCTCTTTCCTTCTCCTACCTCCTGGAGTTCAATGGCAAGATTCAAAAACTGGAAATTTTGTGTGGAGCAGAAACTCCTATTTCCCATCTGAGAAACCATCTTACCCCTCAGACCCTGGAGCCAAGTGGGGATTTGTGGGATTTAGTTTCACTGCTGCCTAAACACTCAATATGGTCTTCAAGGGTGGCAAATACTGTTGGGGGAGGCACGGGATTGTTTTAAATAGGTGACACCTATTTTATTTAATAAGTGAGATATTTAGTATCTCATTTAGCACAGGCCTCATTTTAAAAGGAAACAGTTTAGGTGTGGGGTCCTAATGATGTGTCATTGACCATAGGGTACAGCTCCTGAGCTAACTCGAAAACACTGGGTCCTCATGACACATAAAGCATTGACCATGTAGGAGCCCCTAAGCTGTCTTGGTTACTTTTCTATTGCTGTGACAAGACACCATGACCAAGACAAGTTAGGAAAGAAAGTTTCAGAAGCTTAAGTCCATGATAGGGGAGGAAAAGCATGGTATTGAATAGGTGAGAATTTTCATCTGGATCCACACATGGGATGTAGTGAGAGAGTGTGTGATGCACTGGTCACAGCACAAGTCTTTTGAAACCCAAAGCCCATTCCAGGGACACACTTCCTCCAACAAGACCACACCTTCTAATCCTTCCAAAACAGTCCCACCAACTGGGGCTCAAATACATGAGGTTATGGGATTGTTCTCATTCAAACAGCCACCTAAGATAACATGGTAATGCTGTATCTTCATGTTGTAAGGCATTGGCACTGCAAATTATCTTTAGCTAGGTCACAAACTGAAATTCTTCAAATATGCGAACAAGTGTTTACTTAGTATTTTTAATTCTTTTTAAACATTCACTTTACAGTGTTACTTCCTAAAGGATAACATTTTTACTGGGCAGTACCCAGCCATCAGGGCAGGATGAAGTACTTCCAGTCATTATTCAAGTCACTATGACTTATCCTTACCTTAACCTGTCAGAAACTCAATTCCTGCTATCCTAGATGGGATGTTACATTTTAAAAATAGAGTAATTATATAAAAAGTTGAAGCAAAATTCAAAACACAAGTGAGTCCCTTAAGATATTTAATCTAGGTTTTCATTCCCTGCAACAGTGACCATCAAAGATTCATAAATCACTGTAAAATTAAATATGATGGCTTCTTTGGCTTCTGCACCATTTACTAGACTTGGCAACAAAAGAGCTGTCTTTCCCCTTTCATGGCAGGCTGTTTTAAGACAGAGCTGATATGATAACCATAATTAGGTCTTAGGAGAGAAATTAGATCAAGAAATTACTGGCTGCTTCTAGTTGATAAAGAGAAGGGCCACACTTCCTTCTGACAATCTGTTTTTATGAATTCATATTTTTTTATGCTGATGTTTTCTCCTAGCCAAACAAGACATGCCCTGGGCCCCTTAACCAGCCCAGGGAAATTGTGAAACACCTCCATGGCCCATTGACCCATTATAATCTCACCACTGAGAATCCTGAAAAATACATGGTAGAAAGACTACATGGACTTAAGAGCAATTCTTCCTGAAATATTTATTCACATGTGTGTCTATGTGTGAGATCGAAGGTCTTGGACCCCTCTGGAGTTGGAAGTTTTGTGACAATTCACAATTGCCTGGAGTTGCAGGCAGTGTAAGCCACCTGAGAATTGAGCTTGAGTCCTCTGGAATACTAGTAAGCATCCTTAACTGCTGAGTGAGTTGCTAGGCTGGCAGGTCAGCTTGAGCTTGATCCTCACTATCTATTGGTATCTGGAATTTTCCATTGTGGTAGAGAGTCTGAAAAGAAGCCTGGGTGTCTGTTGCTGTCTCTGAGTGGCTAGGTTTGTCCGTCATGGTCAGTTTCAGCATCTTTGATAGCAATTGTTACACTGACCATAATGGTGGTGCAGTTTAGGATGCAGGGCAATTGCTTGAAGTAGAAATAATGTGCCCCATGGATCCACAATCTCCAGAAGCACTTAAGTGGGACAGGAATCCTAGATAGGCAAAGCTAAGGAAAAACTTAGAGGAAAAAAAGTCTCTCTCTCTCTCTCTCTCTCTCTCTCTCCCTCTCCCTCTCTCTCTCTCTCCCCTCTCTCTCTCTCTCTCTCTCTCTCTCTCTCTCTCTCTCTCGTTGTTTCTCTGTTTCCAACTTAGCCATTTTGATAGTCTGAGAAATAAGTTTTGCAAAAGGTTGGCCTTGAACTATGAAAAAGTTATTTTTAATCAGGAATGCAATTTACATTGTTTTTCATATTTTAATAATATTTTTAAAAGGTTTGTTTATTATGTATACAGTGTTCTGCCTGCATGCCAGAAGAGGTCACCGGATCTCATTATAGATGGTTGTGAGCCACTATGTGGTTGCTAGGGATTGAACTTAAGACCTCTGGAAAGCAGCCAGTGCTCTTAACCACTGAGCCATCTCTCCAGCCTTTAATAATATTTTTATGGTGACTATTTAAACACATACTTGAAACATCGCTCCTCACATAAAGGGTTTTCATCTGAGCTGGGCATAGTGGTACATTTCTGTGACTCCAGCACAAGGGAGGAGGAGGCAAGAGGATTAAAACTTCAAGGACATCTTCAGCTACATAGAGAGGTAGAGGCTGGCTTGGGCTGCAAGTGACCCTATCTCAAAAAGGGAGTTGTCTGAATAGATAGAAGTGAGCTGAAACTCAGAATAATATCTACTGAAGTATGGAGAATGCCAGACAGAGTGGCACACACTTTTTGTACCAGCAGGGAGAGGCAGTTGGATGTCTAGGAATTCAAGACTAGCCTGGCTTACATACTGAATTTCTGGCCAGTCAGGGCAGCATAGTTAGACCCTCTCTCAAAAAAGAAAAAGAAAAAGAGAGAAAGAAAAAAGAAAGGAAGGAAGGAAAAAGAGAAAAGAGCTGTATAATCTTAAATAAACTCTTTAAAATGTCAAACACTGCAGTAGACAAGACTGTTCCCAAACATCATAAAAACCCCAACTCATATGTATGAGTTTGTACTAAAAAGAAAACACAACAAACCATTCTGCACATTTTTTAACTAGACAAGGAACCACCGATGCATACTGTGGACCGGGTTGTCTCTCTTGCTTGACCACCAGAGCACCAGCTGCTCTACAGCGCGAAGTCACCCCCTGGAGGTGTGCTTTCTTTCTTTCCTCTTCCTTGGATATGAGCTCATCAGTCTCCCATGCTCCCAGGACAGCCCGCCTGGAAAAGACTTAGGAGAGGCGAGGAGGCCGTGGCAGCCAGTGGCTGAACAGACCAGCACAGTTGTGTCCACTCTTGCTCTTGCTTCTCTCTCTTTTCCCCAGGGCGAAATGGGTCCAAAGGGAGAGCCTGGGCTAGCAGGACACCGAGGCCCCACCGGGAGACCAGGAAAGCGAGGCAAGCAGGTAAGGATCCTGGGGTTTACCCTGCTGAGGGCACACCTGGGGATGTGTGGAGTAGCATGCATAGCCTTGGATTCAAGCATCCTCAGGTCTACTGGACAGAACAGCCTAGTTACCAATGTTCAGGCTTCTCTCCAGCTAGCCATGGTTCAAGGCTACAGGACCCCCTTAAGGTCAGAAGTAAGAGTGGCCCCAGGTCATAGTAACACACCAGTAACACTCCTTTTTGCCTCAGTATACTGGCTATACATTGAGTTTTAGAGAACTGCCTAGGTCTGTCCTTGCAGCTAACAGGTCTTTTGAACCCTAGTGACGGATTTTACTACATGAACCCCTCATTTGGAAGTGATCCTCTTCACTGGGTTTGCTAAGAGCTTTGGGGAATTGTTTGCTCTGAGCCATCTGGTCATCAGGGTAAGCCAAGTTAAGGAGTTGGGAAAAGGAGGGGTGCTCACTGGTTTTGAAGTCTGCACTAAATGCCCACAGGAATACTAGCATTTTTGATAATGTACAGATACACCCAAAAGATGTGTCATATCTTTTTGTTTGTTTGTTTGTTTGAAGACAGGGTCTCACTATGAGACCTTGATAATATTTGAAATCTATCCTTCTAGTGGGCTTTTTATCTCCTTTCTCTTGGTGGCTATGGTTATTATATCCTTCCATAATTCTTTTACTTTAAAATTTCTTTATTTGTTTATTCATTTATTGTTGTTGCTTTAAGATAGAGTCTCATGTAGCCCAGGCTGGTCTCAAACTCTGGCTACTCCTTCTTCCACCTCAGACATGCTGATGTTACATGTGGTTGAGAAGCATTTCTTCTCATATTTTAAATTATTTCCTTCTGTAGTTATTTTGTCCTTCATTAACAGCTTAAAATCACAATGTATACAGCATCTTGTTGTTGTACATATTAATGCATTTTTAAAAATCTTCTAAAAATGCCCACATCATATTTAATAAACAAGGAAGCAATAGATTACTTGGAGAAGAGGCTCGCCCAGACATTGGTGATACTGAAAGGAGCACGTCTTTGGCAGCAAAGGTTTTCCATTGTACCCTCAGACTCCAGTTTACATTAGCACTACTAAGGCATTTACTGGACCCAGACTCCCCTCCAGCTACAGTGGCTGCACCTTCCAACACACCTCGCCCCTAGGCCTGGACCTCGTTCCCTAAAGACTTCAGCATATGCTCTGTTTTGTTGAACCTACCACCCATGGGATGCTAATGTGTAGCCAGGAGTCAGAATCACCGTAACTCTTGGAAACTATGTGCTCTTCCCTAAGTCAGTGCAGGAGTGACCTGGCTCTGGATAGTTCAGATATCACAGTGACAGTGTTGTGTTTCTCAATTGAAAACAACACCTTTATTTTTGTACAATTAATCAAATCAAATATGGCAAGATTTTTTTTTTAGTTTGATTTTGAAGTCACAAAATGAGCCAGGGGGTGGTTGTGTATGCCTTTAATCCCAGAATTTGGGAGGCAGAGGCAGGTGGATCTACAAGAGCTAGTTCCAGGATAGCCTCCAAAGCCACAGAAAAACCCTGTCTTGAAAAACCAATAAATAAATAAAGTCACAAAATGTTAGTCTCCATTTGACAGTTTTCACAGGATGGTCACATGGCTTCAAAAGCACATCACAGGTGTCAGGCTCAGAAAAAGAAAGAAAAAGGGAGAAAATTCTCCCCTACTATGATTTCATTCTAGAATGTTCCACATTAATATAAGGAGAGGCTATTGGTTTCTGTCCTTTAGCTTTTTTTTTCTGGGGCGGTGTTTGTCTTTACTGGTAAAGCCAAAGTCAAGTAGGCTATGTATCAATCCTGATGACGGGAGGTACATTGGAATGACAGTAAGAGCTACATCAACGTCACTTGGAGGATTCAGAAGAGACAGTAAAGAAGCTGATCCTTATTATAAGATGCTGGAGTTTACCTTGTGCCCTCCACATTGCCTTTCCACTCTGCAGACACCTGTACTGTTATTGGAAGCCAGCCCTGGGGCTTCCTTCATATGGTGAATTCACTCCTTATGTAGAGTATATATCCAGAAGTCATATATCCATATATCAAGTAACTGTAAACTAATACCAAACTAGGAAATAAAAATCCTGGAAGATTCCAGAATATAATTTCTAACACAGGATTTCAGAGGTCATTTAATCCAATCTCTCCTTTCATATCTCTCCCATTTATTCACAAGGAAATGAGGCTAGTGAGGTGGAGTTGCTTGCTAAGCCCATTCAGCTGAGCCAACTTCAAGGCCAGGGTTAGAATTTTGGGCACATGTTCTTTCCCCTTGCTATGGATCTCTATCATGGCCCTGTTTCCAGACTTGTCTCCAGGCAGGTTCAGGAAAGCTGCTATTAACCTGATCATAAAAACCTTCAGGGGATGGGGATATGGATCAATGGTAGATAGAGTGCTTACCAAGTGTGAGAAAAAGGCCCTGAGTTCAAGTTCCAGAACCACAAAACAAAACAAAACAAAACAAAACTTCAGTTAAGGAGACAGAACAACTTCAAGAGAAACCTCTTGAGTTCACAGCAAATAAGGGACAAAGAATCCTTTTCCTGGACAACTTGGTTCAGTGGAACCTACCATAAAGACATGGCACCTGCACTTGACCAACTAAGAAGAACACTCTTCTATTCCTGGTGTCAGAGCCAAGGAGTTTTTCCAGCTCCTTCAAGTCATGCACTTCCTGTGCTTAGAGCCAGCTGGCCTGGCTGTTAGGAAAACAAGCTTTAACAGCTATATTAAGCTGGTGTGACTTCCTTTGCCATCCTGGGACCCATCTTGGTTATCATGTGGAATGCTTCAGCCTGGCCTGAGGATTAACAGCCTCCTCTGTGAGGGTGGAATTGGAAACAAGCTAACCTCATGGGTCTCCTGGGACAAGTTTAGAAACATCTCTGGTATTATGGAGAAGACCCCCCCCCCAAGCCATGTTAGTAGGAGAACACCTCACAGAACCAGTGTTGTGATTGGAAATAGAGTATCTACAGGTGTGACTCTCTTTGCACAATCGGGACTTCTTAGGTGTAAGGAACATTCAGCTTGGACATCTGTCATTCTGTTGGCCACTGTGGTTGATCTAGATGGTCTGGCTGTTGAGAGGGAACTCACTGCTCCTGGTGTCTCATCCAAAGCTGTGTGATTGGCTAAAGATGACCTTCTCCAGTAGAGGACTGTTATTTGGTTAAGAGTATACAAGTAGTTATGCTTCCCAGCTAGGATATAACAAAGCTCTCTGGAGATCAGAACTTCTTTCTCCATGGGTGAAGATGAAGCCTGCCAGTCACCAGGACAATCAGCTTGTTTCTCCCATCACCCTTCATTCGTCACAAACCACATTTTCACTTCTGCCATCTCTGTTAGCCTCACAATGAACCTAGATGGGTATGCATGTTCTGGTCCTACATTAGAGAAGGTAAAATCAAGGCATAAAGCAATGACATGATTTATACAGCCTCACTGTCAAGCTAAAACATCCTGACTGACAGATTGCCAAAACTCCCTCCCCATTTGCTGCCAACTTCTTTCTCCTCTTTCATTTGGTCTGGGGAGAGAAGATGAACAAGGTAGATTCTAGCACTCATGGAACTTATGTCTCCTAGGGCACAGTAATTAAATGACCATGCAATAATCTATGGTCAGTGATCTGAAATAAATAGGAAGAACCATGTTTTTCTTTTTCTTTTTCCTCTCTCTCTCTCTCTCTCTCTCTCTGTGTGTGTGTGTGTGTGTGTTTGGTTTCTGAGGCTGTTTCACACTGTAGCGCTGGGTAGCTTAGAATTAGAGCTCACTGTGTATCTCAGGCTGATTTTAAACTAGCAACAATCCCTCTTCCACAGCCTGTTGAGTGTTGTGATGACAGGCATGTACCTCAACAAAAGTTTGAAAAAGAAAGTTTTGAGAGAATGTGGTGAGGAACACCAGTGTAGCCTGGGGAGATCAAGGGAGACCTTACTGCTTAGATATCAGAGCTGAAAAGTGAAACAAAGAGGCATGGAGAAGGTTTGAGGGCAGAGAGAAAAGGTTTTTCTTAGAAGTGGCATAAGAATCATGGTGTTTTTTTACTAAAAATAACAATAATAACAATAATAACAATAAAAACAAAAATAACAATAACAACAATAAAAAGCAAACAAACAAAAAACTCTGGCTAGGCATGGTAGCACACCTTTAATCCCAGCATTAGGGAAGCAGAGACAGGTGGATCTCTGAATTTGAGGTCAGCCTGGTCCACAAAGTTACACAGAGAAACCTTGTCTTAAACAACAACAAAAACAAAATAAAACAAGCAAACAAAAAAACCCTTTTGACTGAAGGCTGGAGAGCAGGCCATGTTCAGTAAGGAGCTGGGTCTGTACCAAGAGAGCAGTGGGAAGTCCACGGGTATAAGCAGCTTTTCTGATAGAAGGAAAATAATCCTAACAAGTAGATGAAAACTTAAATTATAGGTCTACCTCAGCTACCTCAATACTCAGGTATTGCACAAACATCCTGAGACTCCATTTCCTAATTCTTGCCAGGGAATGAGGTGGATTGGTTCTGTTGTCCTGTGCCATGTTTCTACAACAGAATGAGAGCTTAATGAGAACTTAAAATATGCACAGATCACTTGCTCTGCCCTTCTCAAGGGCTGGGTGCTGGAGACCAATTCTATCCCACCATGAGTTTTTGCTTGTCTGAACTAAGTGGTCTCTGATTTAGAGGCAAGCAGAGAAGGAATTTGGCATGCCATGACATCACAACAGGATTTATCTTTCTATCTATCAGGGTCAAAAGGGAGACAGTGGAATTATGGGCCCACCAGGCAAGCCTGGGCCTACTGGTCAACCTGGTCGTCAAGGTCCTCCAGGGCCTCCAGGTGCCCCATCTGCAGGTAAGACCCCAGGTGCCCTATATGCAGCTTCACTTGGTCTACACAGTTTCCCATCTAACTAGGTCCCCAGAGAGGCCATAAAGAGATGCCAGCAGAGCTGTGCTTTGTCTCTTGTTAGAAACTGCCAGAAGCTCTTTTGCATACCTTCATAATTTCTATATGATTTGGTTCACTCAACTTTGTTTTAACATTCTGGAGAATACACTTAGGAAGTTGAGAGGGACTAAATTACATTGGTGATGTCATTTATACTGTCAGTGAAAAGTATACCTATTTTATCAACTAAAATCTTTTTCTAGAAATACATGTTTCATGGCTCTAAACATTATCTTAAACCCAGAAGGCATTGCAACCTTTTCTGTCTTACATAGTGTGATGAAAGATTATTTATTTGCATTGGATATGTTGAGTACATTGTAAGGAACTTCTAAAAAGAAATTAAGAGTGGATTATGGGGGCCTGGTTAGTACTTGAAGAGAAGATGAACTAGGTCTGTTTTACTATTTAATTTGATTAATTAAGCCCTTTATTTTATTCCCTTATCTGCTCAACCTAAAAAGACAGCATTCCTAGGTCTGTCCTTAGCTATATGACAGGAATCATAATTTTAATTTATCTTAATAAAATTAAAACATTTTAAAATTCCACAATGCCTACTGTATTTATGGGAACATGTTTGCCATCTCATAGTGAGGTTATCATAAAAAATCCTATTCTGTTAGATCCCTTAAACCAAAAGAAAGTTTACTGTAGCATTCCATCCTGTCAAGATGCCATGAAGAATCAATCTTTTGGGTTTATTTCTTTCCTACCTTTTTAACTGCCACAAACAACTTAGGTGAAGATCATGGTAAATTTTGGCAGGAACACATTGGGGAAAGGCACTCCTACTTTGACCTGCTCCTTGCCCACCTCTTATTTACATTTATGGTACATCACAGCATCTTTAGAACTGAAAATTCTTGGAGCACCATGCACTACCAATTGGATGACAGCATGGTAGAAGCATGTTGGTGGAAAGAACTTTCTCGGGTTTTGGAGTGTTTAGGTGCTAAAAACCGGAGGATTCTGGGGACATGTGGTGAGGTAGATGCATACAAGGCTGGCAGACCTTAATGTTCCTATTGTGCTTCTGTGTCCTTGTAAACCAACTTGAGTTTCCTTCCTGGTCCTGGGGACTGTGAGCAGGTTCTCACAAAGCCATATTGGTGTCATCAGTTTTGAGAACTGGAACCCAAGGATTTAGCAGCCAGCACAGTTTTATTTTCTTTCCCTGACTTTCTAGTTCCATCTCTTCTGTATGGTGATGCCTACACCCCTCCACCCCCAACTACCCTGTGCTCTCCCGAGAAGATGCACTGCACTGTTCTTTCTGTTATGGGTCTGTGTTGGCAATTTGCTTCCTTCTTTCCTCCTTTTACTTCTTTACTACTACTATTATTGTTACTATCATTATCATTATTAATATGTGTGTATGACTGTGCCACAGCTTGCATGTGGAGGTTGGAGGACAACTTATTGATTGGTTCTCTCTTTCACCTGAGGGCCAAACTCAGGTTATCAGGCTTGGTGAGTGTCTTTGCCTTCTGAGTACTTTCCTCTCTATCTCTCCCTCTTTATGTATGTGTCTTTTTTTTTTTTTTTTTGAGATAGTGTCTTATATAGTCATATAGTTCAAACTGGCCTTTTTTGTTGTTGTTGTTGTTTTTGATGTTCATTTTGGTTTTTCGAGACAGGGTTTCTCTGTGGCTTTGGAGACTGTCTGGAACTAGCTCTTGTAGACCAGGCTGGTCTAGAACACACAGAGACCCACCTGCCTCTGCTTTCCAAGTACTGGGATTAAAGACACCCAACTGGCCTTTAACTCACTATGTAGCTGAGAATAACATTAAACTCCTGATTCTTCTGCCTCTATCTTCCAAGTTCTAGGATTACAGACATGTGTCATTGAGGCCAAATCAGATGATATAGCCATTCAGTGTGTGTGTGTGTGTGTGTGTGTGTGTGTGTGTGTGTGGTGCTGAGCACAGGGCTTCATATATGCTAAACTATATCCCCAGCTTACTCTTGCTTTCTGCAGATGTGTTTAATCTTCCTTCTATATGCCAACCACACTGAGAAGTGAGTCAGCATCACATCCCCCATGGCATCTGGTGGTTGGAACCACATAGTGACTGGAGCCTACAGGGACTTGCTCTATTCCTCTGGGTTACACCTGCAGTCTAGCAGGACTATAGGCTGCCTCTCTTCACTGATGTTCTCTCCCTCTACCTTTTTTTTTTTTTTCAAATTACTTCCTCTCTGAGGAGCCACTCAGAGGAAGAGGGATAAAGAGGCAACAGAGGCAAAATGGGGGCAGTCTCCCCGCTCTTTGTGAAAAACGGGGAGGGAGGCTGGAAGTATAGATAGGGGTTAGAAGGGACATCCCTATACCTAACTTGGATAATAATATAGAGAAGTCCCCTGGAGTGAATTTCCACTGATAAAAGCCACAAACCTACCAGGTATTATGGCATAGGCTGGTATCTATTTAAGAGTATGGGAAGTTTTAAGACTTTAAGAGAAAATAGGCCAAACAAAGAGTCACAAAAGCCACTCAAGAAGATCTGCCCCTTCCTCAGTGCTTTCTTGCGATATCCTTGAGCCCCAGAGAACACAAGGTAAAGTCTGTTTCAGTCGTTCATTTATGTCTAAAAGCCTTGAGCTTCCACAAGGTTACAGAGCTGACTAGTGGTCACCACAGTCCAGTCCCCACCCGTGGTTCCTAAATCTTCCACACAGACTTTTGATTGTCATTCTGGTTCCTCTGCCTTCTCACACTATCCCCTTCTGGCCTGCTTTCCACAAGAAGCTCCTGGGCAAAGATGGGGAGCAAGGTCCTCTGATTACAGGGCATGGCAGTAAAGCTGAGGTGAGGAAGTTCAAGTCGCTGTGCCCTTCAGGGCGTCGTGGCAGGAAGCTGGCAGGATGATGGATATTCTCTGCCAACTGGGAGGAAGCGGAAGCAGTGGGCATAGTCCATGGGTGGCTGTAGGCTCCCTGCCATGTCCTGTTGGGAGGCTACCTCAGGTCTGTCTCTCAGCACCCCGTGGCCAGCTGGTGCTAGAGGAGTCAAAGACGGTAGGAAGTTTTAATTACTCAAGTTACAGGGAAAGCAGTAGGGTTGGGGGAGGATGAGGAAGGAATAAAGGCAAAATTTAAGATGTAATTTGCAATAATGTAATTACAGATTTGGATAATTCTTTCCTTATTTAGACAGGGTAAATGAATCCACGTGGTACCTGGGAATGACAGCTACCTGAGAGAACCTGTATTCTTGGATCTGTCCATCTGAATGGGACACAGTTAGGAGAAGCATGAGTTCAGATCTCAGTCACACCACTGATTGATATTATGGTTCCAGAGGCATTCTGGGGTTGTAGAACATTCCAGAAGGCTGCTTCATTGACACTCTCACATTTCTCCTTGTCACAGCCCCACTTCTCCAGGTAGAAAATCCTCATGTTCCCAGGCTTTTAAAACCCAGTTCTGGAGCTGATGGTATCTTTGTCTCCTTGGAGTCTTCTGAAAAATCAGAACCCAAGACTGGTGCTTCTCCCACAGAACTCTACTCCTTTCCTTGTTAGAGCTGTAACTTGACATCTGATGTTGGACCAGTTTGTGAGTTGGTTCATTCCCCTGGGTCCTTTTTAGGGTGTGGGCTCTTCCCTATGGTCCTGACCAGATATTGCACCCTGGGTTTACTTTATTTGTGCCATCTACAGACTCTGTTCCCAGTTCCTGTCTGCCTCCACTGACTGGGTAAGACCAAGGACAGGCTGATTTCCAATGGTCCTTATTGTTCCCAGAGGAGGGGCATGTGCTTTTCAATTTTTTCATCCTGCCCCTTCCTCTCTTTTCTTGTCCAGGCACAGCTGTGGCTTCCAATCCTTCACAAAGACCTTTGCTCTCTAATTAATCATTCAATCATTGAACAGACACCCTGTTCCAAATATGTGTCAAGCCTTAGCCTGCCCCTGTCAGATTTAGCCTTCGGGAATACAGATATTAATGGAGTAATCTGAGTGTGTAGGCTTGTAAGCAGAAAGGAGTATCGTGAGGAACAGTCGTAAGTGAATGTCCCAAAGCCAATGTGACAGGGGGAGGATTTGGGAAGGCTTCTCTGAGGAGGTGAAGTTTTAACTGAGAACAGAAGGAACCTAAGAGGCCCTTGGAGAAGGAAGGGATGGAGGTTGAGGAAGATGGTTTGATGGGGGGATATTCTACACACATACCATTTCCCTAGTGGTTCTCTCTCTTGGTGTACAATGGGAACATCTTGAAAACTTTTAAAATTATGGATGCCCAAGGGTGGGGAGTGTGGCTCAGTGCCAGAGTGTATGCAAAGGCTCTGGGTTCCATCTACAGCACTGAAAAAAAGAAACAAACAAACCTATGGATATCTGGAGGTTCCTATGGAATTGGTTTGGGTGTGACTTAAGTATCAAGGCCTTTAAAAGCCAAGGTGAAGAATCTGGGTATGATAATTTAAGCCTGCAATCCCAGCACCTGTGCAAACAGAGACAGGAGAATTGTCACCACTTTAAGGGCAACATGGTCTATGTAGCAAGTTCCTGGGCAGCATGGACTACAGCACCCAGGAAACACAATAAAAAGCCAAGGCAAAACTGGGTAAGCGGTTCTAGTCACTTTGGAGGCTGAGATGGGAGGATTGCTTGAATCCAGGAGTCCAAAGCCAGGCTAGTAAATGTAGTAAGACTTCATCTGAAAAATAAAATAATAAATGATGAGTAAAAGTGAAAGTCAAAATGAGAACTACAGACCTAGACATTGCTAGGGAGTGCATTTCCTAACGACACTCTTCCTGGGTATACCCTGACTTTTCTTAGTACCTGGAGGGAGAAATGCCCTGTGCAGGAAATGTTCTATTTTCTTCCAGGAGAAACAAACAAACAAAACCACACACACCACAAAATTCCTCCATAATTATCCTCCATATTAGAAATTTAAAAGACAGTGAAATGGCTGGGCAGTAGTATACACCTTTAATCCCAACTCTAGAGGCAGAGGCAGTCAGATCTCTGAGTTCAAGGCCAGCCTGGTCTACAAAGAGAGTTTCAGGACAGAGAAACCCTGTCTTGAAAAACAAAAACCAACAAGGCAGTGAAAGTTGGACTAGCAAGGAGGCCCAGTGGGTACAGGTGCCTGATGGCTTGAGTTTCGTCTACAGGTCTCATTAGTGGGAGGAGAAGAGAGAACTAACTCCCCAGAGTTTCCCTCTGACCTCCATTCCTGTGCCCTGATATACACAGCCTCCTCCCCTAAATAAATAATCATTAAAAAATACAGTAAAAGGTTTTCACCCATTGCATATCCATCTGCAAGAAGACCCTTTTAATAATGGTCACAAATAGGGCATGTTGTCCTATAAGAAACCTAGAGATAATCAACAGGCAAGCTGTTAGTTTGGTTCTGCCTCTAGTTGTCACTCTCAGAGTTTTACGTCCCACAAAACCCTCATCTTTCCCACAGGTTGTTAGTAATTGAACTAAGGCTGCTACAGACCAGCTGTCTTGTGTGTGTCTTCAAGGCAGGATTGAGGAGGAGGCCCATCGCTTAATGGCTTCTTTACCCTTACTCCTCCACACCATGGCCAGGAGCCTCTCCCTGCCTTCTATCTGCCTGCAGCTTTCATGTTTCTTCTTGTATAGGTTGCCCACATCTCCTGATTTGTTTAGCTCTAGTAATGTAACATTCTGTTGCTTCCTAGGACAACTTGTCATGGGACTAAAAGGAGAAAGAGGACTTCCAGGGCCTCCAGGAAGATGTCTTTGTGGACCCCCTGTGAATATGAATAACCCCTCCCATGGGGACTCCATGTATGGGCCTGGCTCCCCTCGAGTTCCTGCTGTAAGGCCCTTCAGGGCACGGTCTGAGTGGGTGCTGAGGATGCTCTGTACCTTTGTGATGTACTTTAGCAAAGTTCAATTTCCCTTGTTACAGTGGCTACCCATTGGCTATAGGAAATTGCAAAGTGGGGACAAAATCAAAAGAAAATAAGCAGACTGTTAATTTGGATGTGAAGTCTTCAGGGACATTTTCCCCACTTTTTACTTTCAGGACTAACTCAAATGTGGCTTACATTATATTGTTTGAAAGAGCTGGGCTTTGGCTAAGCATGCAGCTCGGTGGTTAGAGCTTGCCCTGAGTTCCACACACAGTATTGCTTGTAATGGTCATCATGGTGAATGAACATTGTTGATCCAGATGTCAAATTACTTACCTATGTAATAGCATCATCTTTCAAGCCTTGGCTACATGTTAGAAAAAACATTTAAACATGTTACATCAAGGTAGATAGTTTTATGTCAAACTCGGGCATTGTGAACCAGATTGACATAGTATGGGCTTTCTGACACTCCTCCCTATGAGGAACAAACTGAGTCTGCTTTTCTGGCCCCACCTGACCTGGGACATCTTTTCTGGGCCTTGACCATTATGTTCTCTGGCAGATTTTTGTGGTGAACAGCCAGGAAGAGCTTGAGAAGCTGAACACCCAGAATGCCATTGCCTTTCGCAGAGACCAGCGATCGTTGTACTTCAAAGATAGCCTTGGCTGGCTTCCCATCCAGGTACTCTGGGGCAGGCCTGTTGGGCTATGATCCTTCTGTCCTCACTCAGGAAAGGGACAGTCCTATTAGAAGGGAGGACAGCTAGACAGTTGGGGCTGGACTACACATCTGCTATGTGCCTGCAGGAGAGCTATGCATCCTCCCTCCCTGGTTTTGTGAGCAGCCCCATCCCCAAACAAAAGCTCATCTTGAGCCGGGCTTTCCTTTGGGAAAGATAGTCTCTCTTACCCCTTCCCTGAAGGAAGCTAAGGGGTGTCCCCTAGACTTAGGGCATCTGTTCCCAGATGCCAGAGACTTGCCTGTTTGTGGATGTCTGGGCATGGCACACTCATTAATGGCTATGTATTTCTTTGGTCAGCTGACCCCTTTCTACCCTGTGGGTTACACCATAAACCAGCATGGCACCTGTGGGGATGGGGTGCTACAGCCTGGAGAGGAGTGTGACGATGGTAATCGCGATGTGGGGGACGACTGCATTGGTGAGTGGGGCCCAGCCTGGGGGGCTTGACCAGCTGAGGGGATGGGGTAAGCCTTGGCTACCAGCTGTGATGGTCTGAGGCAAAGACAAGAGGCAGTATACCAGGGACTGTTTTGGAGAGCCCCTTCCCAATTCCAGGCAGCATGTTAATTCTTCCCTCACACAAGCATGTCAATAGGGAAGGTGTTCAGGATCATGCTGTCCCAGACAGGCCTACCTGGCCCTTTTTCTTCCAAGCCCTACTTCTTTGCATGCTTAGAAGAGGAAGGTGATGTCCCTCACTTGGGACCCTAGAAAAGCAGAAGGAGATGGGGTCAGAACTCCTTTTCTAGGTGAACAGCAGGTGCATGGTCTGTCAGTGGAGAGAAGAGTCACCAGTGCTGCCTGCAACTCTTGTGATAGTGCTAGGACCTGGATCTGGGGGATTTTCGATGATTTGGGTTTTTTGTTTGTTTGTTTTTGTTGTTGTTTTGTCTTTTACATAAAGTGGTCAGAGCAGGAGATGAGGTAGAAGTACAGTTTTCATAGTCAAAACTGTCCAGCTGCTGGCTCTTTGCCACCCAGAGATGGCAGTAGCAGACCATTTCCAGCTGAGCCTGGCTCTCTTGACTGTGAGAGAGGCTTGACCCGGGGCTCGTGTCTTCAGAGGTCCCTCCAGCTGACATACGTGGGAGTTGTCTGGATGTGGCTTGGGGTCAGTACGTTCATCCATGACTTGGTTTGCTGAAAACTAGGAATGTGTGGGCACCATTGCTGTCCTTGTCCTTAGGGGACAGATGACAGACACTGGGATGAAGTTCTATCCAGGGTGGGTTTGAGAAGCAGAAGGATGTTGTTTCTCCCAGTCTATCTGCACCAGGCTCTTGCAGCTTTTGGATGACAATCTATGGGGTATTGGCTTTTCCTAGAATTCCTTCAATAGCTTTCCCCAGAATCCTTCAATAGGAGTTGTCACCATCAAAAGAAAGTAGTGAGGTCTCCGTTTCATCTAAAAATGAGGTTGGGCCACACATGGTGGCACATTTGAGAAGCTGAGGCAGGAAGATGGCCAAAAGTAAAAAGGGCAGTATGGTCTACATAGCAAGACCCTGGTGTAGGTAGGTGGATGGAGTCTTACTGCTTATATGAAGACAGAGGTCTTTGTGGAGGACACATAGTCCATCAGGAACACAGGCTGAGCCTAGTAGTAGGCAGAAACCTTACATGCTCTCTCACAGGAGTCTGCTGTTCCAGTCCCCTACGCCTTACCTTACCAACATTCCACAGTAGTTATATGAAGGGGAGGCAATGCCACCTTCCTAGTTTTACAGATGACATGAAGGATCTTGTCCCCTGACAAGTAAATGGCAGGTGTGTTATACAGAACCCTGGTATGCCAGTATGACACTTAGTCCAGGGTAAGTCTGAAGCCTCCCGAAAATTGGTTCTCAAGTGGGTGGAAAGCTCTAGCAACTCCACTGGGCCACACTGACCTTACTGTGTAGGCAATCATGTTTCACCTTGCTGCTTCTCAGAGCTATACTTTTTTGTCCCCCTAGATTGTCACCGGGCCTACTGTGGAGACGGTTACCGGCACCAGGGCGTGGAGGATTGTGATGGCTCTGACTTTGGCTACTTGACATGCGAGACCTATCTCCCTGGGTAGGGAGGCCTTCTATACTCTTCCAGAATCTCCCCTCGCCTGCTTTCCTTCACAGATATTTTTAAGGGCCTTTTATGTTTCTGGTAATTTCTAGACACTGAGGTAGGATAGAGTCCATGCTCCCCTAGTGATCACATAGAGTCACAGTCCCCAGGTGGCCTCAGTCAGAGCAGTCACAGCTATCAACATCTTCCTGGGACAGGTCAGAGCAGCAGGTTCCAGGTCTGGTAGTTCCAGTGGTTCCTGGGCTGTGGCCTAGGAGGAAGTAGAGAGGAAGGCAGCGAGCGGGTAACATGAGGACAGGTTCCATCTGTCCACCCAGCTTAATTCCTAGAGCACAATGCCCACTTCCCACAAATCTAAATGAGAGCAGACCAGAGTTAATATGCAACCTTAGGGATGTAAAATATAGCTCAGTAAATCTAGACCCAATTCCCAGTTCCTTAAGAAAGCCTTAAGAAAGGAAAAGGAGGGCCAGCAACATGACACAGGGGGTAAAGGCATGTGCCATGCTAGCCTGGTGACCTGATTTTGATCCTCCAGAACCTGTGTAAAGGAAGGAGAGAACTGACTCCACAAAGTTGTCCTCTGACCACCACATGCACACCGTGGCACCCTTACCACTCACTCACACACACACAAACACACACACACACACACACAGACACACATACACAGACACATATATTCACACAAACAGACACACAGACTCATACACATATACACAGACACACACATACACACATAGACACATATACACACTCACAGACACATACACACATACACACACATACACACAGGGTACACACACATAGACAGAGATAGAGAGAGGCAGAGAGGGGCAGAGACACACAGAGAGACAAACATACATAATTTTTAAGAAATAAAAGGAAAAATATCTGACCTTGACAGTATCATTGTCCCTTCAAGAAAACATCCCCTTCAAGGATCTGTCTGGCTACTGCTGAGCATCCTCAGTGGGTATTCAAATGTGTTAGGGTCCTTGCTTTCACAATGGCATCTTCAAACTATCTGAAGACCCCTCTGCAGAATGTAACCTTCTAGTACAGAATGGTGCTAAATGATCCTGAGCTCACCTGACTGTCTCAGAATCAGCTGTGTGGTGCTCTAGGGAGCTAATTGTGTGCTTATCTTTTAGGTCATTGAGTCTCTCAATTCCATGTCCTCAGTTTTGGATTCTATCACTTACCTTCAGCAGACTGGGAAATAGACATCACCTATCCAACAATTACCTCCATCCCAGTCTCCTCAAAACTCACCCTCCAACACATCTTAGCATATGTAATCTGGCTGAATTAGTTGCACATCTCAAGTCACCCTAAGACTTCAACCCTGGGTAGACTCAGCCAGGATCCCACTACACATGCGTGTCTGTGTGCACTACCCCATGCCTGAACTAAGGAAGGCTCCTGACAGCTACCTACTGGATCTTGTCTGATTAAGTTCCTTAATGGCTTCATAGAGTCATATAGTGTCAACATCTGAAAAGAGTTAACATTAGAGCCGGGGGCTTATTCACTAGCTAACCAGGGCTACTCCTGTGATCTTTAGAAGCTTCCAAGAGACAGCTGTGAATGTGTGTGGATTATCATTTGTGTTTGCAGATGTGTAGAGTACACTGTCCCATATGGCAGCCTCTGTTCCAAGTAGATATTTAATTTTAAAATTGTTAGTGTATTTAATTCAGGTCTTCAGTCACACTAGCCAAATTCTGAGAACTCAGCATCTATACCAGGCCAATGCTGCCCCTTGGGCACAAGTAAAGAACATTTGTATTAGTACTGAGTGATTTCACAGGCAGCCCTCAGGCATCGAGAAGGGGGTGACTGTCTCACAGAAGATGGTTAACATCTGAGCTAACCATACCCTCCCCCCCCCCACTATAGTCTCTCTGCTAGAGCTTAATGTGGAAATCTCCAGAAACCCCACTCATCCTCCCTGAGCCCCATATCCCAACTGAGGCAGAAAAGCTTTCCTGGACCTTGGTGCTCAGTGGGGGGTATGGTAGTTCAATGCAGTTGGAACACCAGTTATTTTTTTAGAATGTGCCTTTCCCTGCGCACTGTGCTGTCTGCTGTCTCTGCCCTGATCAGTATCCTTGTCTTCCTCAGATCATATGGAGACCTTCGGTGCACCCAGTACTGCTACATCGACTCCACACCCTGCCGTTACTTCACGTGAGGGACTGGAGGAACAGGTGGGCTGCAGCCCATGTCATTGGTGGCTGTATCTCTGCACCACACATCAAGCTGGCCTTACTCTCTCTTGGGCCAGTGTCCAATGACCTTCATGTGACAAAACAAGGATACATTCTTGCTGCTAAGACATGCTTTTGACTCAGTTTGACTGGAACTGGAAGAGTTTTGGACCACTGCATCCTGTCTTAATTAAAAGAACCAGAAACCTTCTGTATGCCCACCCTGGGGACTACCCACTCCCATCATCTGGCTAAACAGCTGGCTGTAATGCCTTATCTCTTCTGGAAAGATGCTGGCTCAGATCATGAACTTGGTTTAGCGCTGTTAGACATATGGGAATTGCCAGGGCTCGTGTGTTTTGTTCTGCTCTCATCTGGGTTTGGGAGAGCTTGTGCACAGGTTTCTACACCCTTCAGACCTCCAAGCACAGCTGTTCTCACCCAAGGCAGCCAGCTGTTAGGTCTGTCAAGATTTAAGAACCACAAGACAGAAGGTGAGCATATTCTCTTGGGGCAGCTCCCAGCTTCAGACCTGCTGAGCGACCCTTCAACTGGCCAGAGCCCGATCAACTTCAGGTGGAATTGGAAGTACTGAGAAAGCCACATGACCCAAGCTCACTCCCAAGAAAAGGGTGGAGGCTCAGCTGAGTCACTTTGCCCTGTGAACCATGTCGGAACAGAAATCTTACTCTTCTTGAAGTTCTCAAAGGGACAGTGGTTATAGCTTCAAGTCCCGGGTGCCATCTTGGCCTCTATCTTGATAGTACCCTTCACAATTATGTCTTGTGTGGGAGACTCACTCCACACACCCTCACCAGGGCAGGTGCTGGTATTTTCTCTTGCTGGCTTCCCTGGTCTAGGGTTCCACCGCTGAGTCCTTTCTGTCTGCTGTCTGCTGGAATGGCCCTGTGAGCCTCTTCCATGCCTGCATCTTGTACACCCTTGTGTTTCTCCCAGTGTGCCTGACCTCTTCCTTTTTCCTGGGATTCATTTTTCCTCAGCACTGCCTATCTGAGAACTGCCTTTCCCATATTTCCTGAGTGGGGTTTGGCTCTCTTTTGGAAAGACATTTCTTTTTGTCTCTCTCCTGAATACATGCAAGTACCTTCTCATCAAACAGGCTGTCTCCCTGGGCTGTTATACAAAGCTCTTCAGTGAGCCTAAGTCTTGGGAACTCAGAAGACAGCACCTTTTTACCCAGCAAGTCAGAACTGTGAACTGTATATACTGAGAGAAATTAGCTGGAGGCTGTGTCTTCGCAGGCAGGCATTTATGCTATTTATATTACATTACTATTCTGGGGCTTCTGGGTGGGCAAGCAAGGAATAAAGGTAATTCCTGGCTGTGGTCCATTCTCCCTTGGGTGTTGGGGTCAGTGCTTACCAATCCTGGATGGAGTGGAAAGATTGGGTTCGGTTCTACTTCCCAGACTCTCAGATGGCTGTATTTTTTTTAGAGCACACAGCTTCCTTGAGGGTAATGGAGGAAACCGATGTCCAGAGAGGCGTGAGACATGCCAAAGATCACCATGCCTAGTCCTGTTAGCTCAATCCTGGCTCTCACCTTGCTTTAGGACCTGTTGGGTGGAGACCTAGTGCCACTCTAAGTCCTGTTAAGACACATTCTGTCCTGAGTCCCGTACCGTGGGGAGCAACATTTACTGTCTTAGGTGACTTGATGCTCTTCACAGGCAGCCACATAGCCATGTGCCAGTTAAATGTTCCTTGAGGTAATTTTATAGCCAATGTGGAGCTGGATGAGGGGCTACAGTGTGGAGAGAAGAAGAAAAGAGGATACTCCCTGATCACATCTGGTACAGCATCTCTCCCAGAGTCAGCCAGCTTCCCACTCTGCCAGTTTGCCCAAGTAGATGCTGCTCTATAATCTGATGGGGCATTCCCTGGAGATGGTGAGAGATTCCCTCAACTGTCCTCGAGGCTGTCTTATGAGTGGCTGAGATTATGACTAGGTCTTCAGAGATATGGCTGGCAACTAAATGAGATTAGGCCAGCCACAGGGTGGTATTTACTGAGTCACACATGAGGTGTCCAGCATTCAGTGAAGGTCCTGCTTCATTTCCCGGCCTCCTCTCTGCTGCCAGGATCTCTTCCACTAATGTGAGCTCCATCTGCTCCCCAGTACAACCCAGAGGAGTGGAAAACAGCCGTTCCACAAGCTCTCAACCCTGGGGCCTCAGATAAATCCTGCTTTTGGACTACTCAGCCTGTTTTGGATTTCAGGTCTGCTTTAAAACAGCCAGAAATATGGTGTCTACTGAGTCCATCAGAGCTGGGTTCTTGAACCCATGATGGCAAAGGTTGCAATATTACACTTAGTTTATCCTCTGAGAATTCTCCAAAAAAAAATAATGGCAAGAAACGGGTTAGGATGCTGTTTATTTTCCTTTCTAGTTGCTGTGATAAAATACCCTGACAAAGACAGCTTTGGGGGTAGCGTGGGGTGGAGTGGTGAGATGGCTCAACAGGTAAAGGCACCTGCTACTGTACTTGATGACGTGAGTCCAATCCCTATGACCCACATGATGGGCAGAAGAACTGACATACTGTTCTCTGAGTTCCACATGTATGCACCCACATACTTATACACAGAGGATAAACAATAACTCTCATTTAAAAATATTTTCAAGGAATTGCTTAGTGGAGAAAGGGTTTGTTTTTACTTACAACTCTAGGCTACAGTCCATCATTGTGAAGAAGTCAAGATTGCAGAACGTGAGGCAGCTAGTTACATCACATGCACACTCAAGCGCAGAGAACAATGAGTTAGAATGTGCATGCTTACCTCTCAGCTAACTTTCTCTTCCAGGAACGATGCCACCCACAGTGGGCTTGCTTGTCATATACTGATGACATAGTCTAGACAAGCCCCAAAGACTCACCCACAGATCCAGGCAGCCTCTCATCAAAACTCTCTTCCAAGGTTACTCTAGATCATATCACATTGACAAAGCTATCACAGATGCAAGTACCCTCCATCACAGGGGCCATCACTTTGGATCTTTTCTTTCTGACAGGGCATCAGCCACTTGCAGTAGATGTTCAGGAAGACTGTGCATACCCAATCTGTAGAAGTTCCATTAGGCTTACTAAGAGAGGCTGACTCACAGGGTACCACAGCTCCAGAAAGATGGGGAAGAACTTAGGGGGAGGGAAAGGAGATTAGATTCCCACATTTAGATTATTTACTGGTGTGGGGCTAATAAATCACCTACTTAGAGAGACAACAGCATTTTTGTTTCTCCCTTAAGACTGGTTATGTGAGCTGGGTGGTGGTGCCGCATGCCTTTAATCCTAGCACTTGGGAGGCAGAGATAGACGGATCTCTGAGTTTGAGGCCAGCCTGGTCTACAAGAGCTAGTTCCAGGACAGGCTCCAAAACCACAGAGAAACCCTGTCTCGAAAAACCAAACCAAAACCAAACCAAACCAAACAAACAAGCAAACAAAAAAACTGGTTATGTGAGCTGATCTGGGGAACCTGTTTGGACCACATCCTTTCTTACAAAATAGGGAAAAATACAATGTTTCTTATGCGGCTACAAGTCATCTCTCAGTGTATCCCACCCAGGAGGCAAAAAAACACCAATGTAGTTTCTTTGCCTTGCAGGGAGACAGACAGAACACCAGAACAAGGGCAGCTCTTCAAGCCAAGACAGAGGGGACAGGATTTGGGGAAAGATACCTATAAAATGACTGTAAATTGGACAGTGATGAACTAAGCCCTGAGCATAGCAGGCTACACCAAGGGAATTGACATCAGGTCCCATGGTAAAAATGGGTGCAGGGCCTGGTTCTTTGTAGACTATGAAGTTGAGATGAGTATGGGATGTTGTGCCTGGAACCCTGCCAGGAATTAGCTGGTAGTTGGGAGATCAGTCAGGCTGAGGAGGGCTTGCCAGACAAGCACCAGGATCTGAGTACTATCCACAGAACTGAAATCATAAAGAAAGCTAGGTGTGGGAGTGTGCACTTGTAATATCATTACCCTGAGTTGGAGAGAGCTCAGCAGAACTGGCTGCTCTTCTAGAGGACCAGGGTTCAATTCCCATTACCCACATGGCAGCTCACATCTGTCTGTAACTCAAGTTCCAGGGTTTCTGACACCTCACACAGATAGACATGTGGCAAAAGACCGATGGACATAAAATAAAAGATATATATATATATATATATATATATATATATATATACACACACACACACACACACACACACACACACACACACACACACACATCCAAGGAGGCAGATACAAGTGGAACCCTGGGCTCAATGGCCAGCAGGTAGCCTAGCCTACTTGGTGAGTTCCAGGCTAGTGAGAGACCCTGCCTCAAAAAAAAAAAAAAAAAAAAAAAAAAAAGAGAGAGAGAGAGAGAGAGAGAGAGAACAACTCAACACCTGAGGGTGGTGTCCTCTAACTTCCACACACATGTACCTGCATGTTTGCATACATATAAGAGAGAAGGAGGAGAAAGAAGAAAACAGAGAGGGAGGGGCAGAAGTTGACAGACACACACACACACACACACACACACACACACGGTGGTGGTGGTGCAATCCTATGTTTAGGCTAGAAGTTGAAACTGCTTTTCTGGGGCAGTGTGACCCATGGGGGTCAATTCTCCCAGGCAACGCTCCATTCATACTGATTGACCTTCAAGGCACAGAGGACTAACAGCCTGTGAGTTCAGTCATTGAGACTGGCAGTGATGAAATGTCAGGTGACGATAGTAACAAAGCAAGGTTGGAAATGCCACCGAACATGAAGCAGTGGCCGCTTAGGAAAGAAGACCACTGTGGTGACAACACCTTGGGAGAAATGTCACTTTCCATTAATTCTGTAGCTGGTTTTGTGGTGCCTGATGAATGGCAGTGGCATCAGATGGCTTTGACCCCTCCTGGGCTGAAGTTTTATACTTTCAGTACTGAACTGGCTTAAAGCACTTCATCAGTGAGAGGACCCTGTTCTGCCCAAATGACTCCCAGGGACACATTTGTCAGGTCAGCCCAGGACTACCCAGCTGTAGAGTTGACATGTGTAAGCAAAGCATGGTCTCTGGAGAAAGTCTAGCAACTAATACTTAGGAAAAGTAATAGAACATATTTCTGAGTATTTCCTGCGACACACAAATGTCAACCAACCTAACAGGGACGTGGAGAACACACTGGGCTCAATGATGAGGGACGTGGAG